TGCCTCTTTTTCAGTCATAGCACACTGTTATTACATGGAAGCCCTGCTGAGGTGGTGATAAGGTTCCAGACCACAGAAGCATTCTATACTCTATAATTACATCTTAGTCTCTCAGGAACCTGTTCCCTGGTTTCTGACTTAAAATGTGTCTTAGCTTTTTCACCCAACCTTCCTTTAGAAGAGACAAGAAGGCTAGAGTAGCTGGAGTTGCTTAGTTGCCCTTTTCGCAAGTCAGATAAGGATATGGTCAAGTTTTTCCCTACTGAGTAGGTGTTGTTACAGAGAATGCTTTGGATGTATTTCAAAATACATACTTTTCCTCTCCCCCTGTCAGAAACATGAGAGGATTTTTCTTTCCTTTTACTCTGAGAATCTAGGTTGGGAAGGGAGAGGAGAGAGAGTTTTCTTGGAAGTCTAATCACAAAAGCGTGGCAGGGGCAAAAGGGGTGTCCCTGAGACTGAGAGTTGTGAGAGTGTCTCAGTCTCCTGCAGTGCACACTCAGCCTCCAGCTATACGCCCAGTTACCTCTCAACGTGATTCATTTTGCTGGTCATGGCTTCAGGGGTTTCCACTCTGGGTAAACCGATCTTGACTATAGTTTTCTGTATTTACCTGTCTTCTAGATTTGGGGGTGGAGTTTCACCATGCAACCTCAATTTTACAATGGGTCAAGGAAGTCACTTATTTTCAGCTTATTCTGTGTTTTATTGCTGTAAAAACAGGAATAATGACTTCCAGGCTATTTACATGTCTGAGACGAAACTGGAAACCCCAACACTCTTATCTTCTTATCTGGACTGTTTACGTTTTCTTCTGAGCCATAGATTTCTATATACTGAGGCTATGAAAGGCACAAGTAAGAAGGGGAAAGCTAAACTAAGGGTAGATCTTTACTGAATCTGTTTTTTCCTCTTTTCTGAGATTTTGTTGAATATTCTCTACCATGAATGACTCTATTCCCCTGGTGATAATTCATCTTCGACGTGAACACGAATTTAGAGTAAAGTCTTGGATGTTCCTCTTAATTCTGTTGATATCCTCAGCATCACCTGTCAAAGAGTGGAGACTAGGTTAGGAGATTCCCAGAGCTAAGCCTCAGTCTTCTTCTTCTTATCTTGCCTTTCTTTTTTAAAATTATTGTCGTTTTCTCCTCTAATTCCCCCGCCCTTCTGAAATGTATGGCATTGTTTCATTTTGTTTGTTTAATTACTGGGAGTGGGGTTTATTTTTTGTCACTGAGTTTTAAAAATTCTGTTAATTATCTATTGCAGTTGGAAGATTCTGTGCCTACTGTCAAGGTGACACTCTCCGGAATTTTAAAGAGAAGTTTTAAAGTAGGATGCTTTGGCTAGTATTTGTAGAAACATATATAACTTTTTACATGATAAGCAAAACAATAGATATTTATTCTTCATTCCAAGGAGGGGGGAAAAACCCTTGGAGGAAGAATTCAGAGGCAACATCCTTAACGAGTGATCAGTAGACACAAGGCTCATCCCAGTGAGCCACTGGTTCCGGCAGCTGTGTGACTTTGAACAGAGATATCTACAATCTTTCAATATTGTTTGTGCACCAGCTGCATTCTCCACATTGTATTACTGTGGATTTATTGATGAGTAAAACAAATTCCTAACCTCAAGGAGTTTGCAAGCAAAAGAGTGACATAATGACGAAAGTGCAGAATTCCTCTGTCTTTTCTCATGCTCAGAGATTACCTTCTTCATCTTTAAAATGAAAGGCTCGCCTAAATGACTGAACGATATTGCACCTCTAACCCTAATATTCTTTGATTCCCAAGGACAAGAATCAGAACTAACAAGGTATATAACGACAAAAGAATTTTCATCATGAGGAACTTATCAAGAAATCATAGAGAAGAGAGACTCACACTAAAGACACTTAAGATGAATGGGAAGCCCATCAGCATATTGTGTGGCCATATTTTCCAAAAAGAGTTAAGTGTGTAAGCTACTGTGTAGACCGTGGGGATTCTGGATGTCCTTGGACTCCATCATGTGTGGTTTCTTGGCAACTTAGATGAAGCAATTTTTTATTGCTTTGTCCATGTAATAAACACTGATACATTTTTCAGTTTAAAATTTACCAAGTCTGCTACTGTATCCCATAATTCTCAATTTTTATAATAATTGAAAGAAAATATTTACAGTTGTTTAACATGACGGGTAGAAAAATGACCAAAGGGATTTTCTTAAATTTCCTTCTAATTAATGGAAAAAGAACATAGTCAGTGAGGGTCTTTGCTCCTGTACCCCAATTTTCTTCTGTACAAATGGCTCAGTCTTGAATTCAAGAGGAGTGGTGCAAGATTTAATTGCTCCCACTTGTTTTCCTTGTGCAAAACTGCAGCGAGAAGAGCAAATGATAAGTTGAGAGTATTTAACACTCAACAATATCAGGAACTTGTTCAAACTTTTTTTTTTTTGATGCTTCTTGACCTTCCAATGATTTAATTCTTCCACACATGGTTTCATTAGAACTTCACTTGGAGATGAACAGAAATAGCAAATGATGACATCTTTCATCTATAACCAGAATATTCCAAGCCTTTTCAAAAGGTGTTGCAAAAAGAATGAAGCATGAGCTACCTAGGCCTTGTTTGTCTGAGTCTCACATCCTACTCATATAAGTGAACACAGAATTTTTTCAACAAGGACTAAGAACAAGCTTATTATTTTTTAACATATATACAATTTATTCATGATGATATTGCCAGTAGAAGCCTGGAAATAACTGAGATGCCAATAAACAGGAAAACTACTAATTATATCTATACAATGAAATCTATGCAACTGATTTAAAATTAAGGATGCACCCTCTTATTTTTAGTGTGTAGTGTAAATGGATATGTGGTATGTTGTCAAAGAAGGTTTAGAAGTTCAATTTAAAGAATACCAAAGATATCTGCTATTGTATAAGCAAAGAAAATGCTATACAGAGGTTCTAAAGTAAAACAAACACACTTACACTCTGATCACTGAACTTTGGACTAGTATTGCTCTTCATTAGTATCCTAAAATGTATGGACATTTTATGGGTCATTGTTCCAAACTTGTCTTCTTTAGAGCTATCTGGAGTAGCACAGAACCAACCTGTCTTTAGCGCTTCCTTGAGCAGCACAGAAAAGGGACTTTCAGAGCTTCAGGAGACAGCATTTCATCTAAGTGCAGCTTCTGGAAGTGAAATGTATTTAGAAGGTTTGCTCCACTATTGTAATTTCCCAAGTAGGCCCATGTGACTCTGCAAACCCTAGGCCTGAGCCAGGTTTGTTTGAAATGTCAGCCAAACTATCAGCACCTTACACCATGATATGGTCTGGCTCTGTGTTCCCATCCAAATCTCATATCGAATTGTAATTCCCAGTGTTGCAGAAGGGGCTCAGTGGGAGGTGATTGAAACATGGGGGTGGACCTCCCCCTTGTTGTTCTTTTGATAGAATTTTCCTTATATCTGCTTGTTTAAAAGTGTGTAGCACCTTCCCCACACTTCCTGCCGACCATATGAAGATGGGCTTGCTTCCCTTTGACCTTCTGCCATGATTCTAAGTTTCCTGAGGCCTCCCCTGAAACAGAAGCCTGCACAGCCTGCAGAACCATGAGCTGATTAAACCTCTTTTCTTCATGAATTACCCAGTCTCTGGTATGTCTTTATAGCAATGTTGAGAACAGACTAATACCATGAGCATCTCAAATGCCATCATCACAGGTAATATCTATCGAGCTCTCACTTCAGTGATTTCTAATAATGACTCCATGAGACAGGTGCTGTTATTGTCCTCTTTTTACAGGTGACATTTGCTTAAAGTTAGTGACTTATTCTGGAGTCTCCAGCCAGAACTGAAATGCAGGCAGTCTGACTTTAGAGACCTCGCTATTCTTCACTTTCCTTTAGGCTCCCTCCAAGGCTCAGTTTCAGCCCAGGATGCAACACACACTATGCAAAGATATATTAACTGTGGTTTAAAGAAAGCTAAATTCATATTGGCCCAGATCCTAGCCTCAGCACAATGTAGCAATATGGCAAATAGGGCCAGGAGTCTAGTTTGGAAATGCCTCTCAAACTAGGTAGGATTGTCTGGCTTATGTTGAATGATAATTTTATGTGGGGCTAGTTTGAAATGTTCCACTAAAGCATTATTAAATGACGCCACACAGTCATATACTCTGGGCACCAAACAGCAATAAATACATCTACCTGCAAACATCCCCAAAGGTTTCAGGTTTACTTGTCCTGCCTCCTACCCACTAGCCAAAAACGTAATTCACTGCTTTCCACAACAGGCTCCTCTCTTCTTGGCTTTCTACTGAGACTCATACCTATGCCTGTGTAAATGTGAGTCATCCTTTATGACTCCAAAGCTAAGGAAGCTTTCTCAGTTTCCCTAGGTGAAGTGGCAGGACCTTCTATATATTCATTGTGACATTTGTCATTCATCATCCGCCTCATCTAAGATCCATTTTATTCCTCCCTTATTTTTCTTAGCCATAAAACCATGTTTTGTTTGTTTGGTTTGTTTTTTGTTTTTTACCACATTTGGCCATTTGTACCAAACAATGTCTTGCTCATAGTGTGAATTCAGTAAAAATTTTAAAAATAAATAAATAAATAAAGAGTAAATGGAATGGGTTAGGAACCCATGACACAGGGTAATATAGGTTTAGCATTCCTAATCCAAAAATCTGAAATGTGAAGTGCTCCAAGATACGAAATTTTTAAGCACCAACATGATAACACAAGTGGACAATTCCACACCTGGTTTCATGTGATGGATCCCAGTCAATGTACAGTCAAAACTTTGCTTTATGCACAAAATTATTTAAAATATTTTATAAAATTCCTTTCAGGCTATGCATATAAGATACATGTGAAACATTACTGAATTTTGCATTGAGTCTTGGATGCTATCCCTAAGAGGTCTCCATATGTATGTGCAAATATTCCAAAATCTGAAAAAATTCAAAACATTTCTGGTTCCAAGCATTTTGGTTAAGAGACATTTAACCTGTATCCGCAAATTTTCAGAGAGAGGTTGATGGGAGGAAATAAAATAATTCAGCATTGCCACTGTAGAGCAATGCAGTTACCTGGAAAACACGAGGCTTATCTTCATGCAGCTTTGCCAGATGGATGTGAAACTCCTCCAGCTGATCCTTGTGGAAACCCACCCATCTCATGTCCCTCAAGTGGGGATATATGGAAACATGACTAATAAGACAAAAGGAAAACAAAGTTGCATGGAGTATTTGGGATAAAGTAGTTTTCTTCACATATAGATGTGTTTTTGTCATTGCACAAGGAATCTAACACTGACAAATAAGATTCCTCCACCTGCCTCACTTTCTATTCCAATAGATAGTTGGCAGACTCTCTTTCCTATGAAAGGCATGGGTAAATGCTACTTAGGTAGCAGGTGGTGGAATAATTTACCTAACTATGATTTAAGGAGTATCACAATATTTCTACCCATTCCCTGGGTTCCTTCATGTGGGAGATGCAGACTGGGCTATGTTTAGGACATCAATCTCTGGGGTTCATTCATCACACTCCAGTGTCTCAATCTCAGCTTCCTTTTTCTGTACACTTGAACATTATGTAGCTGTAGATGAAAGATCGTTTGGCACTGGTATCATGAAAGGTATGTACAGCGGATAATATAAACATGCGTATATACAACAGGGCTTGTCTCCTTCTCACCCCACCCACAACATGTGCTTCCTGATGTTCAGGTACCTGAAAGGTCAAACACTATGTCACTGACTGTGTATTAGCTTTTTAGAGCGAGAGAGGAAAAGTGATGAGTGTGAATGTCATCAAGGTGTTGGCTAAGCTGATTGCAACAGTCCTGCTGCACCAAAAGAATTCTGCTCTAAGAGGCCCCTGGGTTCACTTCTGCTCAGATGGTGCTGAACTCCCACCAACTTGACTTCCGCTTTTCCAGGTTGACCATTCCCCTCCAGCTGACACATTGGATAAACAGTGTTGACACTATTTTCACACCCCAGTTCCCATGGACCTGGGAGGTACCCTTTGTCTTCCCCTGATGAACGACTTTAAATAACCTCACCTTCATGGGCAAGAACACCAGCTTCTGCAAACTGTGGCGTTCACCCACCGCAGATTGTCCAGTTTCCTCCTGTTCTGTCGCCTCTTCAGGTAACGGAATCACACTCTTACTCTGAATCTCAACTCTTTTCCTCCCGTCCTTCATACATTTCTCTAGAGCTGAAGCAAATCATTATTCTTTGTTTGCAAAGAGGCTTCCTTTCCCTTTGTGGAGAGCTCTCAGAACCTCCTGCCTTTCATAAACTTTTCCAATTAAATAAAAGAGCAATTTCTCTTTTCTTCCTTGTCCTAGAAACCAATTCCCATATTATAAATCAGCACTCAGGTTAGAAATATATATGCAAAACTTCTAATTTATGCCTTTTCTATGACATCCATATTTCTATATTGACAGATAAGAAATACTAGAAGATTTCAAATATACAACTGTTTTTTGCATAGCATCATTAGCGGTGTTTCTGCTGGATTCTTTGTGTTGGTTCACTCAGTCTCCCTTGCATCTTTTCTCTCTTTGGGAAGATTGGAAAGTTCAGTTATATTTCCCAGATTCTTTTGATGCTAGAATTTGGTATTGATGAACTCATGAGATATTTGGAATGCAGGAGTGAGCAGAGTCCGTCTGTGTGAAAGTTTTGGAGGGTGCTGCTGCTAAGAAAGGCCATGGAAATATGATGTTCCTCCAGCAGCCAGCCAGCGTCCGTTATACAGACTTCAGAATGTTGAGAGGCACTGGTGGCAGAGATGCCAGTTTTAACCCCTTATTTCCAGCATAGTTCCGGTGAGGTGGCCTCCAGCAGCCAGCCAGCGTCTGTTATACAGACTCCAGAATATTGAGAGGTGGTGCTGGCAGAGATGCCAATTTTAACCCCTTATTTCCAGCACAGTTCCAGTGTCGTGGCCTCAGAGAGAATAGCTCTATCACTCCAGTCTGTGTTGTTTGAAGTGTAATGCAATTCCAAGAGGCTGATCTCAGACCTACTCCGTAGACCTTCTACAGATCCTGAAAATATCTTACTTTCTGTGTTATACGTCTTTCCACTCGGAATGGCTGGAATTGTTTGTGATTCTTGCAGAAAACGCTGACTGGGCCAGGTGGGGTGGCTCATGCCTGTAATTCCAGCACTTTGGGAGGCCGAGGCAAGCGGATCACAAGGTCAGGAGATCAAGACCATCCTGGTCAACATGGTGAAAACCGTCTCTACTAAAACTACAAAAATTAGCTGGGCATGATGGCGTGCACCTGGAGTCCCAACTACTCAGGAGACTGAGACAGGAGAATCAATTGAACCCGGGAGGCAGAGGTTGAAGTAAGCCAAGATTGTACTATTGCACTCCAGCCTAGGTGATGAGCAAGACTCTGTCAAAAAACAAAAAACAAACAAACAAACAAAAAACCCTGACGGATACACTTCCCCATGGCTTATACAGAAAATCGGTCTTCCACGACCTCCATCGCCAGTCTTTCTATATGGATTCCACCAGCCCCACAGTCTCATCTCACAGTCCTCTTGCCACTCAGTTTGTTCTCATTACACTGTCCAAAATCTATCAAGGTCTTCCATATTTCTGTGCTTTGGACAGGCCATTTACTCCTAAAAAGTGTCCCAGCCCCATTTTCTTACCCTCTCCCTGCCCTCCCTGACTCCCTTTCTTCTATGTCCAACTTAAATGTCTGCTTTGGTGAACTTAAGTAGTTAAGGCAAAGCTAATGAGTCTACTGTATCTGGTAGATAATTCTGTAATTGAACTCATCACACTCTGTTGCCGGCGTGCATTCAGATTTCTTCTATTTCTTTTTATTTATTTTTTTGCATTCAGATTTCTATCTCCTCTTCTGTACTGCTAGTTTCTTACCCTCAGGCAACTTATGAACGGTTTGCTCTCAAACATCTAAGAAATTAATGATGACTACTTAATACAATTTTAAATAAGTACATTGAAATTATTTATGGCTTCTTCTTTTCTTTATATTATTTCTGTTTCTTTTATATTTGATATACTTTGCAGCTACCTGTAAAAACAGTGGCCTCTTGGTTGGAAAGGTTGTCTAGCAATGAATCAAGTAAAGCATTAAAACTTTCCACCCTCATAAACAAGATTTACCCGTGTTGAGTGGCTGTTCTCTTGCTGACCTACCCCACTTAAAGCCTATACATTTGAGTATGTCCTGAACAAATTCTTGGAGGAGAGAAATTGAATCTGTTTAGCTTGTTTGACATAGATACTGTGCATGGGGTTGAAAAGTATAGCTGGAGAAAAATAATTTACAAATTCATGCTAAGCGAGACTTTCTTATCAGGGACTTTTCCATTCTGGGTTTGAATAGGGAAGCGGCCGTATTTACAGCTTTATGTGTATGAAGAACAGGGAGTCAAAACTGTCTCCCACTAAGGCGGGCCAAATTACAGCAGAGGGCTGTTATACTGCTTCTCAAAACTGGTATTTCCTTTTATTGGTATTAATATTGAAATACGGCATGGTAATTCTCTTGCAGGACTTCTGTTAATACTGAAATATGCAGCTACATTTCTGTGTAAAATTTTACTTTCTACTAACTTTCTTGTGATCTCTGATCATTTTTCTTTCTTTTTTTTTTTTTTTGAGACGGAGTCTCGCTCTGTCACCCAGGCTGGAGTGCAGTGGCCAGATCTCAGCTCACTGCAAGCTCCGCCTCCGGGGTTCACGCCATTCTCCTGCCTCAGCCTCCTGAGTAGCTGGGACTACAGGCGCCCGCCACCTCGCCCGGCTAGTTTTTTTGTATTTTTGTAGTAGAGACGGGGTTTCACAGTGTTAGCCAGGATGGTCTCGATCTCCTGACCTCGTGATCCGCCCGTCTCGGCCTCCCAAAGTGCTGGGATTACAGGCTTGAGCCACCGCGCCCGGCCGATCATTTTTCTTTTTTTAAAAAAAGCAAGTATGCATTTGTGGGAATGCTAAAGCAAGGAATGCATAAAAGTTTATTTGTCTTTGCTTAATATAATTTGAGAGAATTTTTTTTTCTGGTAGTATGTGCTTTTAACTTTTTCTAAAAAATATGAACTTGTTGACTATTTCTTTTCATGGGGAGACATGTTTTTCCAAAGAAACATAAAGATGACTTTTTAAAACTGAAAATTGTAAACACCATTTCATACTTTTATGTTTTCTTTATATTACACCCAAAGTCAAAAGTCAGTAATGAATGCAAAATATTTATTAGGAATGAAGGTATAAATAGGGCCATAATAGAATACGGACAGGTTTTATGTTGTTTTCATAAGCAATTCTAAGTTCCCTAAAGAAATATATATTTTCTTCAGAAGAAATGCACACCAAATGTGTTTTTGTAAATGTGTTATTTTCACAGAAAGAACATTCCAAGCTACTTTTACAAACCAGAAATCTTTGTATCTTTGAGAATGAAAGTAGAAATGTGCCTAGTTACTGGACAGTATGGGACGTATTAGTATCAACATGTACAGTGAATTTTGGAGCATTTATGTCAACTAAATGCTAACTTTAAGCTCCATATGAGAGACAAATTATATTCTATGGCCTGAAGATTAACTGAATTGAAAATATAGATTTCTTTACATTTAAACATTTCAGTGGCTCATCTTTTTGCTACCACTCTGAAGCGGTACCAGAGACTCCCCATACAAAATCTGATGGAGAGTCAAGACTGGTGATTTCACACATACACCAAGAGAACAGGAAAAGCTTTATTTTTCACATAATGAGACCTTTTGGGGAGATCAGGGAGCAATTCCCAAGCAGATCCAAAAGTGGCTTGAACGAGCCAGGAAAGGAGATTGGCGTGATGGTTCGAAGGTGGGGCTGGGGTGAGGTTCCCCGGTGGGGCAGAGCCTTCCCGTGGGTGCCGAAAGAGAGCAGCCCAGATAGTCTCATCAGCTTGCCCCGATAGGAGCAAAGAGGAGGAGGGCGAGGTCAGGCTTCAAGGCTGTCAGCCATCAAGTATCAAAAATTAAGTAAAGCTCTAATATGATCGGCCTTGGAATTTCCTCCATTGACCATTGTTGAGCTCCTTAGGAAGTGACAGCAGTTGGAAGCACACAAAGCGCTCGTGCATGCCAACCTGAGGAGCAGAGCGGAATGATGCTCCCACGATGTGCCACGCCGGGTCCGCGGTCTCCTGCGCCGTGTACCAGCCCTATCACCAAGCCACTTGCTCTGTGCACGGGGTTGCTGCTGTTTTCTTTTTGTGGGGCTGTGATGAGGCATGGATGGGAATAAAGGAAAGCACAGTATCTGGTGTGCAGCAGATGGACAATTCACAGGAGCTATGATTACATTTTGCTTGAGATTGTCTGAAATGTGAAATCCTGCAGCACTATGGCTAATGTGGATGCCATAGCGACAGAGCAAATAAAAATAAAATTTACTCTTTGCCAAAGCTGGACACGAGTTACCGTTAGGCTCCTGCCCTTACCCAGAGGCTGGGAAGCAGGGGCTGCAGCTTCAGGTGTTGGTTGGAATGAACAATCAATTCTTCTGGCAGCCTTGAGTTTGCTCAGGCAGGCACTTATGGGGGACTGGGGTCACCTGAGGGTTGCGGCCTTCAGCTGTGGGAAACTATGCTAGTGTTTGCTCAGGTCTTGATAGGCCAAGGTCCGGCCCTAGTGGAGAAGAGAGTTCAGGGGAGGCTAGCTGGAGTTGAGTCAAGGAGAGAATCTCTGCTATCCTAAAATGTAATATTAAATAAATGGTTCTTGGAAATTTTATACTAAATTTAAATTTGCTAAATTTTTTACTAACATAAATGTGAAAAATCTCAGTCCTGTTTAGAGGTAAAAATCTCAGTACATGGAGTTATTCACACCAATATGAGGTTAACAAAATAAGCTTTCTTTTGTGTGGGGGAGTTAGAAAAGTATTTTTAGAAAACCCAAACCTTCATTTTCAAGTAATTATAGATTCACAGAAAGTTGAATCTATAAAAAAGGAAAAGTCCAGGAGGTCCTGTGTGCCCTTCACCCAGCATCCCCCAACGGTAACAGCTTATGTAATTATGGCACAATATCAAAACCAGGAAATTGACATTGGTACAACCCTCAGAGCCCATTCCAATTTTGTGAGTTTTGTTTTCATGTAGAAAAGTTAGTATTCTAATCCTACAGTAAAATGCTGCATCTAAATGCAGAAAAGAGAGAGCCATTAGTCTTTATTTTTCCATGTCAAGTTTGGGCATATACCCATGACTTGATACATACATACTATTTCTGGTACCTTTAATTTTGTCATCATTTTACCCCGGGATCAACCCTTTGGTCTTGTTTT